TTGTAGAGATCCTGCTGTTCGCGGTGGCAGTGTTTCTGCTTCACTACTGGATGTCCAGGCCTCGGGGAATGCCACCGGGTAAGTTCAGTGTTTGTGCATGAAGATAGCAAAGCATCAAACAGTAACATTTATCTTTACTGAAAAATAATTGCCCAACATATTTCAGGTCCGATGGTTATACCATATCTTGGCTCCAGGCCTGTCATCAGTGTCGACCATGTGCAGAAGATGCACAAAATATATGGAGATATATTCAAGTAAGCTTCTCTCATCACCACTCTTCTAACTTGAACCTTTTCCCAATCGTTCTTTAAAATATTCGGGGAAACATAAGAGCATCTAAACTGAAATAAGGAGTCATGTGAGGATAATGAACGTATGCTGACCTGAATTCCCGGTCATTATACTGCATGTTCTGAATTCCCGTGAAACATTTCAAGGATGTTGTCTAGTAAGGAGTGCGAGATACGCTTAAAGTTTCCTTCGTATTTTTCATAAATAGCGGTCTTTTTATATCTTCAGAGCTTTTTTATATCCATGTTGTTTAATGGACAACGGTCTGAGGCCCTTCCTTTCGTGATCAGTCAGAATGTGAATAACATATTGTACTTGTTTTATTGTAGAAAAAAAATGCAGATCAGAATGAATATCTTCACCGAAATATTAATTTTGATTCGGGCTTTTCTCTACATTTGTTGCAATGAACACTGAATTTGTTAGTGTGGTGTAGGTCATCATCAGGATACTTATAACGAAGTCATCCTATGGAGCTTTAGTACCTGAAGATATGCGAGTCAATGAATACAGAAAATACTTATTTAAAGATATAAATATGTATCATTTGTGAAATATATATAAATTATACGAAATTCTACTTTCCAGGTCCGAAGTAGGGCCGCACAAGTTTATATTCCTTTGCAGCAACAAACTTATCAAGGAAGCGCTGACAAAGGTGGAGTTTGCCGATCGTCCTCAGTTAGAACTGTTGCACTTTTTGACAGATGGAATAGAGGCAGGTATGTAGGCATTCCTGCGGAAGAAATGTGCAGTTAATGTATCACATTGATTGTTTGTGTAAATGTATGCAGCATATATTGTGGACACACACAAACACAGAGGGAGAGAGAGAGAGAGCAAGAGCTAGAGGGCGGGAGGGTGGCAGACAGTGAGAGAGAGAGAGAGAGAGAGAGAGATAAGAGTGAGACAGAGAGAGAAAGATAGTGAGATGGTGATACCATAGTAAGAGTGAAAGAAAGAGAGAGAGGGGGAGGGGGAGACAGACATTGAGAAAGAGAGAGAGAGAGAGAGAGAGAGCAAGAGCTAGAGGTGGAGGGGTAGACAGTGAGAGAGAAAGAGTGAAACAGAAAGATAGTAAGATGGCGATACCATAGTAAGAGTAAGTGAGAGAGAGAGAGAGAGGCGCACACACGCCTGCTGCACCCTGTGTGCAAGGAATGGCCGGGCTTCGCATCCACTGACGGTGCGGGACGAGGACGCCACCACTGCTCCACACAGTGCGGTTGTATATCAACGGTGCACACAAACTAATCAGGTCATGGGGAAATTTGGATTTAGATTTCCTTTGTCTTGGGCAGGTGTCATAATGAGCAACGGCCAACGATGGCAGAACGCGCGGAGGTTCCTGCTGCGCAACCTCCGTGATCTGGGCATGGGGAAGACCTACCTGGAGGAGAGCATCCTGGAGGAGGCCAGGGCGCTGGTCAAGGACTTCAGTAGCCACGCAGGAACGCCTTGCCATCTGCCTGAGACGCTCAACGTTGCCGTCTTGAACATCATCTGGCAGTTGGTCGCAAGTAAGTCGCATTGATGAAAGATTAAGATTATGTTTATTTGAACTGGTGAACAGTGTCTTAGCTTGTTATTATCAGTCATCATTCAACATTATCATCATAATTGTTATGAACATTTTTTGTTATTTTTTATTACATTTTTTTATCATTACTACTATGATTCTTATGGTTATTTTTTATTTGTCTCATTTATCATTACTTCTATAATTGTTGTTATCAATATTGTAGTTATTGTTATAGTAATATTGATAATAATGAGAATGATAATCACAATTATGCAATTATTATTTTATTATTGTCATTATTATGATAGATGTTATGGTGTGCCATCCTCATCCTCATCGCCATCATAAATATTGTTATTATTACTGCGATTATGATTTTTATTACTTTGTAATTTTTTCATCTTTTATCATTTTTCTATCATTTATTATTCTCATAATTATTGTTTTTGATAAAAATGATAACGATACTAATAACATCACCATCACCACCATCATCATTACACCACCATCACCACTACCATCACACACCACCATCATCACCACTACCAACACCACCACCACCACAATCATCACCATCACCACCACAACCACCACCGCCACCACCACAACACCCCCACCTCCACCACCACCACCACCACCACACACCACCACACCACCACACCACCACCACCACCACAGCCACCACTACCTCCACCATCCACCCACCTCCACCACCTCCACCACCACCACAACCACACCACCACCACCACCACCACCACCACACCACCACCACCACCACCACACACCACACCACACACACCTCCACACCACCACCACCACCACCACCACCACCACCACCACCACCTCCACCACACCCACCACACACCACCTCCACCACCACCACCACCACCACCACCACCAGCCACCACCACCACACCACCACCACCCACCATCACCACCACCACCCACCACCACCACCACACCACCACCACCACCACCACTAGCCACCACCAAAATTGTCTACCTCGTCACTCTCCTCACTGCAGACAAGCGCTACGACTACGACGACAAGGCGGTGCTCGAACCCATCAACATCCTGAGGTCCTTCGACTCGTCCTCCATGGCCCTGCTGCTCGAGTTCATCCCGTGGGTGAGGAAGCTGCTGCCGGAGTTCATGAAGGAGAAGATGATCACGGGGCTGATGAGGAAGGTCAAAGAGCATCGTGACTCTGCTGAAGGTGAGTGGGCGTGTTATGGGGGACTTGGACTGGTTTTTGTTGTTTTTTCTTGCTCTCTCTCTCTCTAAGTATCTATCTATATGTATGTATATATATATATATATATATATATATATATATATATATATATATATATATATATATAGAGAGAGAGAGAGAGAGAGAGAGAGAGAGAGAGAGAGAGAGAGAGAGAGAGAGAGAGAGAACTGTCACGTGATCAATCGGAGGCAGTGGTGGGCAAAAACAACAAAATCCTACGAACTTCGGTATTAAGTATTGGTCTGTCACGAACATCGTCCCTTTTTTCTCGATTTATGTAAGATTCGTATCCTTTTTCATCCTCTTTTAAAAAACCTCGACATGGTAAACCGTTGCATTATTATTGGATGTGCAAATGGACACCAAAAAGGTTCATCTTTGAGTTTTACTTGTTTTCCGAAAGACCCCGAGAGAAGGAGGCATTGCTATCAATCGCAAGAACTTTGATCCTGCACCTGGGAGTGATGTAAGAGCTTGTGCTAATGATACGTACGATAGCTTTTCTATACAGATATTCTAAAATTTAAACGGGTATGTTATATTGTCATAACTCTTCCTAGGGGATGTATTTCCTCGTGGTTAGGCATAGGCCTAGGCGGTGGTAGATGTTGTGGATCACTGACTGGTTACTAATGTGTATTTTCTTTCACTTTAAGTTTCAGTTAATTTCATTTTAAAACTTTCCCTGGACAAAGGTCGTAAACGGGAACAAAATGAAGATAGTATATCATGACTGCTACACTGCCCTCTCAACAACTTTAGGAAATTTGCTTAAATCTTTTCAAGGTATGATGATGATGAGTATCGTGTGAGAATGTAAATTTAACCTTTTAGAAAAGTCTGGCTATAACGTCCGAAAAATATTGATAAACCCCTGTTTTGAGCAACTTTTCGAAAAAAAAAAAAAACAGGCCTAAAAGGCAAAGATCAAGCAAGAAAGAATTTCACAAGGTTAGGAGAATTTAATCCTACGACTACGAATCAATCTTATTACAAACAATATTGAGTACTTGCACCCTTCCAGAGATTTGTAGGCCTTTAATTCTTTTTATGTGTAAACACCAGGTGTTTGTATAAAGTACACATACATGTCACCGAAATATCAGGCCATTATGTGGGGCTGTCTGGCCAAATATCCTATAAAGAATACGGTTCTGGTAATCTTTTTGTACCATTGGATTTACGCAACTTTTCTTAACATCTGTTTTTCGCCGCCGAAGCGAGATTTATAATACACCGACATTTTTCTCACAGCTGATTCTTGCTTTTACCCACCAGTGAGATGCGCATGCGCATAACTATGTGATGTTTTTGTTTGGTTGATTGACCTTTAGAAGGTCGGTCAACCAAACAATTAGTGTGGCCCAAATACTGTTTTCTGATTTTTTTCTTATGTTTAATACCAAACTTCATTATCCTGTTTTATTTTTAAAAAGAAAAATACTTGCTTAAAAGCTTCGAGTGATTTGTAGGCTTCCAACTCAGATTCTGTGTAACTACCCGGCGTGTGTATTAGGTTTTTTCATCATGACGTTTTTTAGCAACTAACTCGAGAGATATGTAGTAGGTTGACATCGATCTCACAGCTGATTCAGCGGCAATTGTTGATCTTTTGCCCACCAGTGTTGTGCGCGTGCGCGAAAAAGCTTCGTGTTTTTGTTTTGATGATCGTCCCTGTATATATATATATATATATATATATATATATATATATATATATATATATATATATATATATATGTATGTATGTATGTATTTATGTATACATCTTTCTTCTTCTCTTTCTTCGTTTTTATTTCGTTTGAAAACTGTCAAGTAATTCCGAGAGTGGAATGTTACCATGTGGTAAATAACACGCATATATGTGTGTATGTGGGTATGTGTGTGTGGGTTTTTGTTTGTATGTCTGTGTGTGAGTGTGTGTCGAGGGGTTGTATGTGCGTGTCCACTAATATAAAATGTATATTCGTTTGCATATGATTATGTGGATGTGATAATCTCACGTGGCGCACTTTACTGCCTCCCTCAGGACACAATAGATTCTCACAGAACCACGCTCGACCCGGCCAGCCCGCGTGACGTCATCGATGAGTACTTAATAGCCATGGACAACAAAAGTGAAATTGCTGAGTACTTCAGTGGTGAGTTTGCGTTTTCTATTTCCGCTTATTTGCTAGATATATGTAAAAAAAAGTTTTCGATAGATAATTTATAGAAGTGCATTTTAAATAATTTAAAACTATTGCAGTTAATGTAAAGATCCCTGTTATTACTATTATAATTGTTTATCTCAATTATTTTTATCTGAAACTTTCGATGACGAAGAGGCCATTCATTAGCAATGAATATGATAAGAGAAGGCCAAATGTGCTCCCGGCAGAGCTGGATCTGATGAGGACCATCTTCGACCTGTTCGCCGCGGGCTTCGACACCACTGCCAACACCCTGCGCTGGGTCGTCCTCTACATGGCCAGGTTCCCCGAAGTGCAGCGCCGCATCCAGCAGCAGATCGACGAGGTTGTCCCGCGTGACACCTTGCCCTCCTACCAGCACAAGAGTCGGTAAGTTCAACTTTGTCTTCCCAGCGAACTCTTTGCTGAGTCAGTGCCTGAAATCATGTTTAGGACGACTGATGTGGCGATGTCCCCATTCCAGGCTGCCATTACTCGAAGCGATGATCCAGGAGGTTCTCCGCGCGTCGTCCATGATTCACAACGGAGTCCAACGTGCAGCTCAGACTGACACTTATCTGGCAGGCTACCTCATCCCGAAGGCAAGTCCCTGCTTCACTCTCTTTGCCCGTGGTTCATTTAAATGGTATACCTCGTAGTGGTTGTTGAAGGCAGGGGGCCCAGCCTGTCTGCACCCCATGTCCTTGTAGATCTGGTTGTGGTACTGTGGCTTAGACTGTTTAAAAATACTACAGATCGCCAGGTCATAAATCCTTTCCGAAATGCACTGTGCCGCAGGGGTCGTGGGTGTTCGGGTGCTCGGGAATGTGCCACTCGGACTCGCGCTACTGGGACCAACCGCAGGAGTTCCGACCCGAGCGGTTCCTCGACCAAGAAGGAAGAGTCAAAACGCCGAAGGAGGGATTCATTCCCTTTGGTACAGGTAAGCCGGATACTCCAGCTTCGTCATTAGAGTTAAGCTCATACCCCGTGGCGATCATAATCGTGATGCCATTAACTGAAAAACTATTGGCGATAGTAATGAGAAATTTTCCCTCGCAGGACGCAGGAGCTGTCTTGGAGAGGCTCTGTCAAGGATGGAACTGTACATCTTCTCGGCAGCCCTTCTGCAGAACTTCACTTTCTCTCCTCCAGCGGGCGTCGAGGTCGACCTTGAAGCCAGCCCCAAGCAACCAGGTGCACGCCTGGTTAAAGAACAAGATATTCTCATCAGCATCAGAGAATGACAATCTAATCGTCTTGCACATTCAAAGCAATACCTACGTGCTCATTTTACATCGCATAAAAAATATATATTATCATCATGATCACTATTAGAATCAGAAACAGCAGTCACTCTTGCTTGTCATCATACTGTTGTTTTGCCAATAAGATTTTTATTAATGTCTTTTAGTATTACCAGTGCCGTCATGATTCTTTTTGTCGTTTGCCTATCAAAATGTAAGCCAAAGGAGAAGAGAAAGCTTTTTGACTGTTTTTTTAAGTTTGAAATATTCTTCTTGATCTGTTCAGTAGAAATTGGATAGATGAAATTGTGTTTGCTTATAATTTCACCTTTGTTTAAGAACATTGCATCTCTTGTGTAGCCAAATGACCGGTGTTGTTTAAATTTCGGTTTTGGTACTGTATCCTAAGTCATAGTACCTGCATACAAAACAGGGATTCTTATAACACGCTACATAGGACTGTCTATATTAAAATTTCATGTCTCATCTAGGTTGTTTAGTGTCTCCCTCGCTCCCTTCCCTTTCAGATGGGGTTCTGGGGACGAAAGACTACTGTGTGTGTTGTGCTGAAATAATGGCCTGATATATTTGATAAATTATAATCCACACTTATATCTGTTTAAGGTGTTATGAATAGTTAATTTACATTGTGAGTGCATGATTATATGTATATCATGTAAACACACTCGTACATCAAGACCCAAATTCATAAACAGAACTAAGGTGAACACTTTAGTACTGTCCTAATAAAGAACAAGTCCTATATAACAAAGTCCCGAGTCGAGTCTCGACGTATGCGAAATCTACCTGCTGTTTTTGACGTCTATTTCTCTTTTCTGTTTTCCATAATCTATAGAATATACTTAGAATATGGGCTATTGTTTTTTTTTTCAAATAATTAATTTCAGGTTTATAGTGCTATATGACCTTTGATGATCAGCACATTTATTTGTTTAAAACATTAAGCATTGATTTTAGCCTTACCGCGAAACGCGATATATGTTATCAAT